ATGGAACTTTTTCGTAGTCAAATTTATTTCATGCTTCTCAAGTTGGTCTCAGACTAATTCCGGTAATGAAAGCAGTTTGGCGCTTCAAAAAATAATTATCATTATGTTAAGAAGAATTTTTGAAAGAAATTAACGCTAGAATGCTTTATCTGCTACCCTAACCCCGCCCCAATAGCTACAGTCTGTGTCAATTACGTACTCCCTCCGCGGCGCATGCGCAACGCGAGGGCTTTGCGCACTGACCTCCAATCGATAAGGCCAATTTGAATGTCCAAGTGTACGCGCGTGAACACGGCGCGAAGCTTTGACGTGGCGAATGTTTGCGGAAAAGGGAGCATGCGATTGACATCTATAAGTCTATAAAGTCTATAAATGTTAGCCCGCGCCCTTGCGTTGTCGGCAACAATTACGCATAGAAAATGGCCATGAGGGACGCAAAAGTCCGGAGGAATGTGCGCTTGATACGCGCAAGCGTTGCCGGTACCGCAAAGCGCTCTTTTGATCTGCAAAATTCCTGACTGTAGGCTTTGCAGGGATCAATAGCGCGGGAAAGAAGAATCTTCCCCGCCAGCTAAAACAAATGTCATCACGCCATACGTGTATAGGTCATCTAAAAGATCGTAACGACGGATTTGACTGGGTCTTTGCGCCCACAGGAGCATAAAGCACTTATACAAAAAGGTATCGTCGTCTGCCCGGCGTACGTTGGGCGGAGCTTTTGCGGACATTTCAACACGTTGGTGAACTTGTCAAACCTCTACTTTAAAGCATGGTTCTCTGTACTCCTCAATCTGCTACGTTTATATGCTGTTGTTACACGTGGCAGGGTTGGTAGCGAGAGATCACAAAAAACAATGCCTCGTAGTAGAGGGTTAACAAGTTCACCAACATGTTGAAATGTCCGCAAAAGCTCCGCCCAACGTACACCGGGGAGACGACGATATCACTCAACAGTTCAGCCACTTCACCTAGATACTATCATAGGTAAGCAGAAAAATTGGATTAGAGATGAAAACCAAGAAAATGCGTTAGCTGGAAATGCGTGCGTGTTGCGCGCGGTCGCGCCACCGTCACGATTTTTCGAATGCCCCATATCATTCATTCTCTGACCAGGACACGCGATATCGCATCGCACACATTGTCTGAACAAACCTACACTTAGCAGGTTTATACATGTTATTTTTCGTTCAGGTTCATTCGCTCTTTGGAAACAGGGAAGGACAAACTCAAACTTGTTAAGACAATGTCCGCAACGCGGTCTCGCGTCTCCTAATCATAGAATAGATGAGACCTGAACAAAGTCTGTCATAACCAAATTCCAGCATCTTTAATGTTTCCTAGCCATACAGATAATACAGACTGCAAAATTGAAGTGATTTATAATACAGCGGAAGAGGCCAACCACAACAGCCTTTTTGCCAACCACAACAGATGGCATCACGATATGCATGGCATACTGTAGTTTACGGTATGGGTGCAAAAGAGACGCTCTTCGACTTTTCGCTATTCGCATAGTTTGGTACAGAATTTTAGTGTAGACAGAATCTCAAACCTTTCCTTTTTATCGAAAAAGTGCATTCTACGTGGCGCGCATTTCCGACTGCAGAAAAAAACTCTCCATCTCGTGAGAAAATTGAGAAAACGAGAATTGCGTAAGCAGAAGCAGAGTACACTCAATTTAAAGAATGTATTTTAGATGCTGGAAATGAAATAAACATTTGAGGAACGACTAGGGCTAGGAACGTTTTGGCATAGCGCCATCGGGCACATCGTTGACTCCGCTTAATACCGGCACTGCACCCTCCGACATCAGTCAGGATTAGGGGTTTCGGCGAGCATGCCATGTGTGCACACAACATATTGAGAAACGACACACATCGCAAGAAAACATCGAAAAGGTTTTGTGAAAAGCCATCACTATCGGAAGAGTAATTAAAGGGATGGAGAATGGATGGAAATGGCAGCTTATAGAGGACGCGAAATGAGAAAATCGCACAATTCGGCCATTTGCTCAGTAGGTCTCATGTATTACAGGAGAATGACAGTTTTTGCAATGGTTCTACTGATTAGATGGCTGTTTTCGAATGAGACAGAGAAAATTTTTTAACTCGAAAATAGCTTTGGAAATACAGACAATGCACGCGAGTAAAAGGCTTGAGATATAGAAAGTCGCAGCGGTGACTGCATTACCTGCGCCGATAACCGTGTCCAGGATTAAATCCATGCGCTCTCCTCTATAATAATTAGAAATGATGAACAGATTTTTTTGGTAAATATTCACAAAACTCCTTACACTCCTGCCTTCCGACGAAATATTAGGTTGTCCGGAAATTAATGCCCGTTTTGAATTTCAATCGCAATAAGTCATACACCTCTCACTTCTAAATAGGATGCAGAGAACCATTCGATAGAGCAAAGCAAGCTCTACAAAAAGGCCATCTTGCTTTTGCAACAGCTCTCATCCACCTCGAGTTTCGAGTCAAAAACCAAAAAGACTCAGCGGCTCGAAAAATCAAAAAAAATCGTTACCCAGTTCACAAAAATCTACAAAAATTCTTACTTGCTCACGTAAACACTATCCACATAAAACATCTATATACGCCTTTGCCGTATTTTTTCCTCTGTTCGAAATCAAGAAAACGGAAATTTTCGTGCATTTGTCAAAGTCGTGTTGTGCCGTCCCCACATAGATAGTTGTATACTACAAACCTGTAGAAGTACAAACGTAATTTTCAGCTCTCTACAAGCTTTAGTTCTCGAGAAATACCAAGTAGAGCTTTCCTTAGTTAGGTGGTCCAAGCTAAAATTCAAATTTCTTGAGAACTAAAGCTTATAGAGAGCTGAGAATTTACGTTTGTACTTCTACAGGTTTGTAGTATACAACTATCTATGTGGGGACGGCACAACACGACTTTGACAAATGCACGAAAATTTCCGTTTTCTTGATTTCTAACAGAGGAAAAAATACGGCAAAGGCGTATATAGATGTTTTATGTGGATAGTGTTTACAGTAAGTTTCGACCCGCTTTAGGCGGAAATTGGATTGGCGAGAGTCCGCCTCGCAACAGCTCGCGCCGTTTCGCAGCTACAGTATATCCTATCGTGCTGAGAACCCATGCCTGCGTCTCTTCAATCTCCTTAGTCTTTGCTTGGCAAAATGCCAGCGCTATGCGCTCGCGAAGCCTCCAGCGATGCGCATGCGCTGCTCCATTTAGAATGTCTCGCCTAATCCGGGATGAAACCGACTGTACGTGAGCAAGTAAGAATTTTTGTAGGTTTTTTGTTAACTGAGTAACGATTTTTTTTCGATTTTTCGGGCCGCTGAGTCTTAGTTTTTGGCTCGAAACTCGAGGTGGATGAGAGCTGTTGCAAAAGCAAGACGGCCTTTTTGTAGAGCTAGCTTTGCTCTATCGAATGATGTATTACAACCTACTTGAAAATGAGAAGTGTATGACTTATTGCGGTTGAAATTCAAAACGGGCATTAATTTCCGGACAACCTAATAAAAGGATTAACAGGCCTTCCCGGAATTTCTTAGTGAGAAAGGAGTCTGTGAAACTTGTTTTTTATTTTAAAAATGAGTTCAATCAAGAAATAGGAATTTTTTTGCAAAAAAAATTTCAGGGAATTTTTCGCCTTATACGCATATGGCTCCACTTTTTTTTTGCAGATGTAATTATTCCAATAAGTCTTTCGAAAGTCCTCATACACGGAAAACCAATCAAAGCCGATTGTCGAAAAAAATTAGTGTGGAAGGGGAGACGAGTTTGATACGGTGCGAACGCTGTGTGCAACATTAGAGCTCACACGCCCGCGCACGCCTCGCTTTGATAGGCAGCTGCCTTCGTCTAGGACTAGCCTATATTTAGATACAGTCGACTATATATTCCGCTTAATATAGTGTGCTTACACTGGAGGTAAGAGGCAGCAAAATTTGCGCGTGAACAAATAACGACGGTAATGCCGGCATTTTGCGCGCGCGAGTCACAGGCGTTGCCATCTGTTCACGCATAAATCCTACTGCATTTTTCCTGCAGTGCAAGCACACTATATTGAGCGGAAAATTTACTCGACTGCATGAGATGACGAAGTCCCAAAAAATATGGCCCAATAAGGCAGTTCGATCATAAGCCAATTGCCTTCCTATTTATGATGAGTGACTGAATTAAAGGATGAATAAAATGGAGGTAGGAGCACTTGTCGAGTTCTTCTTACCCGCAACGCGGGCAACTCATTTGCGCACCAAGAGTCAGAAACATCGCAGACGGAGTATAGCCGAGACTGAGATGGTTGTGGCATATAGTAGGGGAACCGACGAGTCAACGCTTTGTTCCTCCTCCCTGTGCAGAAAAATGACAGTGAATTTGATTTGGGATCCGCTGTTGGAATTCATTAAAATACACAGCTTTCCCTAACCTCTCACCACTCAAAGTCAAGGTACAAATTTGTACGCTTAAGGGCTTAAGCGAGAAATTTCACACTAAAATATTGTTTATTCAGTCATCCGTGCTTAGGCTCCCCATGTTGGCATCATTCAGCAGGTTTTACCTTATTCCTGTAGACAGCTCCCTCATCCCTAAGATTTCTGCAAGATCTCGTCTGCATGGCAATTTTGTGCATGTTTGCGTATACAACAGACGCGATCGCGCGCATTTGCAGATCTAAACCGCGGTCATTCAAGATTTTTGTTTCTTCCATTTTCTTTTTCCATACAGTTTCTTATATTTTGAGACTGACTTGGTTTTTCAGTGAAGGTGTATTTCAATTCATGTTTTCGTGCGAATACTGCTGAATTTTGATTATTTTGCCCATTTGTGTACAAGTGTAATCATTTTGGATTTAATTCTCGCACTAGCTCTTTCGCTCACATGTAGTGTGAACTATTGTTGTGATCATCATTTCTTCTAGACTTTGAGAGTGTGGATTATTTTTTAAGTGTTTTATTGACTTTTTTGGTTGGATTCTCTCCGAATCTCACATCAGGGCTGTGTTCTTTTCACAGGTCATGGAGGACGTTCAGATGACAGATGTGTCAGAATCACCTACTCGTATGACCACTCGAGGTCAAAGGATTAATTATGCTGAACTGAACAATTCTAGCACCGCTAACCAATACAGGTGAGATCCTTCCTCACTCGATCACCACTTGCAAAGCATAGCTTGTCGTTATTATTTTTCAGTGAATGCCATTGTTGTATTCAGTTTATGTTCACCAGTTATATTACCTTTGCAAAAGTTGTAGCAAACGTTAGTTAGTAACATACTTTATTAATAATTGCTGCTTAAAAGAACAGCTTGCTTGGCTTTGCCGAATATTTTTTTTACAGCGAATCAGCAGAAACAAGTGCAAGTGATAGCGTTTTTCGCTCTCCTACAGCTAGCACTCGCGGCAGAAAACGTAGAACCACACACGAAGATGCGTCTTCAATCACATCATGGAGTGTGGTACGTATTTTTTCGCTTGCTGTCTTCGACATTCATTTCCCTTTTTTACTAAATAGTGCTTGCACGCTCAAAGTTATTGTTTTAGCCAAAACGTGGACGACCGCGTGGTACAGGTGTAACTCGTGGTGCACGAGGTGGCGGCGTGAGGAGGTCTATTTTTGGAGAACAACAGACAGGATCTGCAGCAGCCGAGATAGAAGAGACGGGATTGTTTGGTGCTGTTAAGACTGGAAGAAACTTGGAGGTATGAACACAGTTATACATCATGAATTTTGTATTGATACATATTGTTGATTTGCGCATTGTATTGGGCTCTTGTGATTGTTTGTAGTTAATACATATCTTTTATTTGTAAACTTAATGAGCCTTTGATTGTGAGTCTCTTACTTTTTTCTGTCACCCATTTATTCTTTGTTCTCCGTTCTGTAGCTAGTTCTCAATCATTTGTGCTGTCCGAAGATCATAGAGGTTGGGTTTCAGCAAACTATTGACGAATGGATTGAAGAATATGAAAGGAATCCGGATGCTGCTCTTGTAAAGCTGCAGCAGTTCTTCATTTCATGCTGTGGATGCAAGGGTGTAATCAATGCTCACATGCTGAACACCATGGAGTACAGGTATGCGTGAACCATCTTTCATTGCAATGAATCTAGAAAAGCATTCTGCAGTGACATTATACGACGTATGACGGAAGATTTTGATGAAGATTCTGGTGATTATCCGCTTATCCTTACTGGAACGCAGTGGAAGAAGTTCCGGAATAACCTACATTCCATGCTATACGTAAGCGATTGGAATTGGTTATGTGTTGGCGCTGAAATGATTTTTCAAGGTATGGATCGACAAATGCAAATCTTCACTGATTTTTGACCAGCGTATGATGGACAGCGTAATACAACTACTCACTGGCCTTGCAGACAGTCAGGTTCGAGCTTTCAGGCACACAGCGACATTTGCAGGTACGTGTCGGGATGACAATTGTCGCTATAAAGTACGTTTCTCGTCTAGCTATGAAGATCTCATCCGCTTTGGTTGATGTTACATTGGAGTTGGTTGCTGTAAAGGATCGCAATGCCAAACAACTGGAAGCTGAAAAGGCCCGTCTTAAGCAAAGTTCGGGTACTAACGAGAAACTCGACGTCCTTATACAAAAGAAAAATGAGGTAAACACATCACTCCGGCATAAAAGTTGCTCTTATTGCTTTCACATTTGTTCCTCATAGATCGAAGAACGGACAGATGATGTTCGCCAAATGCTGCAGTACATTTTCAAGAGTGTCTTCGTACATCGTTACAGGTGCGTTTTTTGCGTCCTTTTCTTTTCTTATTTCTTGTTTTCCTTCTCTCTTCCTTCTTTTTCTTTCTTTCTTTCTCTTCCTCCTTCTCGAATTTCTCCATCAAGATTGTTTGCAGAGATGTGCTGCCCGATACCCGTTCAATATGCATAACTGAGCTTGGTAACTGGATGCTTGTTTACCCTGACCACTTTTTGGAGGATTCGTACCTGAAGTATATCGGATGGAGCTTGTATGATAAGGTAGGCCCTTTTGAGCTCCAAAACGAGCCATTACATTTTTTACTGAAGATGAGTGACTTGTCTTTTAGGTGCCTGATGTGAGGCTAAAATGTATTACTGCGCTACTCCCTTTGTACGACAAGCCTGATGTTTTGAATAAACTTGAGTTGTTCACAAATAAGTTCAAAGATAGGCTGGTTTCTATGGTATTGGATAAAGACAACGAAGTTGCCATGAAGACTTGTCAGCTGATGACTAGCATTTATCGGTAAACTTGCTTGTTCAATTTTTTCTCGTGGTTCTTGATTTTCTACTAATTTTTTGCGTAATTCTGTAAACCCCTTGCTTTCAATGCTACATTTTGAATTTATATCTTTAGCGTTTTCCCCTCGCTTCTGCAGTTGAAGGATTGTGTCCCCATCTATGAACTTGTGTATTCAAATCATCGAGGATTAGCAGTTGCCGCTGGAGAGTTTCTCAACACTAAAGTAAATATCTCTTATTCGTTTTCTAATGTTCTTATCTCATTCTTTCCACCATCAGGTCTTCCAACATTCTCATCGAGGACGAGCGTCAAGCACTACCAGTTCTGGTGGTCGGAGTGGGATGGGCGACAATGCCAAACTCATCCAAGATCTGATTCAGTTTTATATTGAGGGAGAGGTGCGTAATTTTGAATGGGAACTTTTAGACGATTAGCGTCTACTTATGGTCTACATTTAGTGCCACGATCATGCCACATACCTCGTGGACGCTTTGATCGACACTAATCCTATGATCAAGGATTGGCAAACTATGGTTGATCTCCTGTTGAGCGATGAAGGTGCACAGAACTTTTTTTTTCTGCAAAAGTCATATAGCTTTAGTGTTTCAGTTGAATCCAGCGAGTCACAACTGATCGAGGTTTTGGTGTGCTCTGTTCGTCAAGCAGCTACTGGTGAACCTCCTGTAGGAAGATCCGTAGTAAAGCGTGGAGCACCCTCAACCAAGGAAAGTCGAACTCTTCTTGAAGATCGTACGAGGTTGTCCGAAGTGCTCATCCCAGCACTGCCAAAATTACTGCAAAAGGTTGTTTCAAAATTATTTTGAACTAGTAAGTCCTGATAGATGAACCATTCCAGTTTATTGCCGATCGTGACAAAGTTGCTAATCTCATCAGTCTGCCGCTTAATTTCCAGCTGGACATGTATATGGCTGGAAGACTGGAAAATGTGAGCGTTTTCTTGAATTTTAGAGCTTTGATATTTTTTGAAGCAATCATTTTCTAGCATCTCACTGAACTGATGAGAGTTGTCGATATGATCGTCGAAAAGCATGCAGATGAAGAAATGATGAACACTGTAGCCGAAATGATCACTTATTTTTCAACAAACACTGCTGTTGCTCAGCACACCGAAACCTACAGATTGAAGGTTATTCGAGAATTTGGTTGCCAAACAGCTTCATATTGGGGGATTATTTTTAGCTTATTGATGGTTTGGCACTACAATTGCGACACACTGTACAAAGGTGCATGAATGAAGAACAATGGGACGAAGAGGATGAAGCAGCAATGCTGGCCGCGTTTCGAAAAATTACGGCGTTTGCAAGGTACAAAAAATGAGTTTTTTGATGCTATAGGTCCGGTTTATTCGAAATACTTGATGCGTTATTTTTCCGACCACATCTTCCAATCATAAGTACCGTACTCTTGGAAAAACGGTATCTGTGTACAGAGCATCATAATGTTGAAAGCAATTCCTTGCACGTTTTAATTGTTGCGCGTATTGTGCCAAAATAATGCGCGAGGGACTTCCTGCAATCTGTCCGATTTCAACTATCTTGTAGTATCCGCAATCATTTTATTATTTTTGGCAAGCCTCAAGCTCAAAACCTATCACGTATTGAACTGCCACTTTTGAGACTGTCTCTACGTTTCATTACCTTTTCGAGTATTTTGAGTTTTAAATGAGTTCTTTTTAGTCACATCGATCTCAAGAAGTGGGATCTATGGGATGTTGTACTACTTGTGCTCAACAATCATGATGACAAAGCGCCAAGAGACGTTATTGACAAATCCATATGGTTCCTTTTCATTCAGCTCAATTGGGATTTGCTCCGACTAGTTCGGGATCAAGAACCAAACAAAGCGGTAATTGTAAACGGATTTTGCTGCATAGGCTCTTGAATGTTTTCAATTTAAGGAAGCCGTGAAGAAATTGAAGAAGAGGCGCGATCAATTCCTCCATGATGTGAACATCATTCTCAGCGAAGGTGCATCAGGAGTGGAATTGGTGAGTAATAATCTCCTTGTTCTTTTCATGAGCTTGCAAAAGTTTCAACTTTGTTCTAGGCATTTCAATGTTTGAATGATCTTCTTATAATGTTCAATGAGGAACTAAAATCGCATGGGCCTCACCTTGAGCCGCTGATTGTTCGCCTTGATAATGTGAGATTTTTAGAGTTATTTTACATGTGAAATCTCTGATTTTGCGAAACTCTAGGATTTCATCAAGAAAATGCAACTATTTGTCAATGATAATGTATTCATCCCTTCATCAGAGGACACTCAGCTTGATCAACAGCAGCAAGTTGAATTGATGCACATGGTAGGTTTTCAAGGCAGTTTTCGCTACTGTAAAAATACTGATTTTACTTTTTGTAGAAGAGAAGCTTATTAGCACAATATTGCAAGATGGTTTTACATGGAGTATTTCCAATAAGAGATGCTGCGTTTGTTTTGCGATACTATTGCGAGGTTGGTCAATAAATTTCTAAGCCTCATGTAATCAAGCTGAGTTTCCAGTTTTACTCTGACTTTGGTGACATTCTCAAACAACTGCTGTACAAATGCCGAGATCTCAACTTCGTTGCTTGCGCGAAAGCGGTAACACGAGCACTCACAGATGTATACGAATCCATTAGGGTAAGAGTATCTCAGAACAATATCATCATTTGAAACTAATCACATCATTCAGATGAGCACTGGCCTTGAGTTTGTTGATCCACTCTCTGATGCTTTCCATCAGCTGCGAGATCTGGCTAAGAGATTTGCTGTAGCTTTCGGTAACGACCACTTGAAAAATCGTGAAGCTGTTGCTGTAGTTCACAGGTTTGATTCACCATTATATTGTTCAAAATTACAAGTTTCTCATGTCTTACGTTGTTCAGAGACGGCATACAGTTTGCGTTAACTGGTTACGATCCAAACCGTAAGGAGGGTACAAATAAGCCCATAAATATCACTTTTCTGGAAGTCATCATCGAGTTCAGCGCTAAACTGATCCGACAAGATAAAGCGGCTGTGTAAGTTACTCCTATATGTTCATCCCGAACTTCTTGTTGCTTTCTTTTGTTTTAACGGTGCGATTTTTTTCTACAGTCTTCACAGATACGATCGTGTTTATTCAATTTTTTGGAAGAGGATTTCCTGGAATGTGCAGCTCATTTTTTTCCCTCACGTTTTCATTTGAGCATAGAAAGCCCGAATTTTTTTTTTGGAAATCGCTTCCCCCGTTTTTAAGTTTCCCGAAGTTGCACAAGAGTTTGACCATATATATAGTTAATAAATGTTCCAGCATGCGGTATCTGGAAAAACACGGTCCTCCAGCATTGCCATCATCGAAAGACCCTACATGGGAACCCTACTTGTTATATAGAAACTCATTAGTAGTAAGTCCCTCAACACTGTACTTCTTAATTTTCTGGTAATTGGATGAGTATCCATTTTTTCCTAGGAAAAGCACCCCGATGATGTCTCTTCCGTGCGGAGTTTTTCAACAGCATATACGATGAGAGGAAGAGGACGTGGTCGTGGTAGAGGGCGACTCACTCCCACACCATCAGAAGCCTAAATATGCCATGCAGTAACCCTGTGAATGAATCTCGTAATCGATGTACATAACTGTGGCCTCGATCTGTTTCTATGCGTCTCAGAACTTCTGTATTTTGGTAATACGATCTCTATAGTAGTGGAATGGACTCATTTGTATATATAGTCATGCAACTCGTCTGTATTGTGCTTATACACTTTGTTATCAGCAGGTAATCATGCTATTGCCTGCCTACATTGTTTAGAACATGCAATTTTTGGTCATAGACTCTGTAACTGTCACACGACAATCTTGTATTCCGTGATATGCTTCATAAATATAGAAATGATAACAATTTATAAACAACAAACAACTTAAGCAACGATCTCGTATCGCAGAGGAGCGAGGAGTTCTGGCTCATTGTTCTTGGTGCTGACAACATGTGCTTCACGAGGTCCAACAGGTAAGCGCTTAAGGAGTGGGATAGGTTGTCCGGCTGCTTTGGCTGCTTTTTTCTTCTCTTCGTTAGCCTTCACGCGGTTTAAGAAGTCTTGTCTGCAGGTGGAGGGTTTAACATGTTCCACTCGGATGTTGATGCGCTTGGGGACGATTCGTCCTCTGCAAAAATAGACTTTCATGGAATTAAACGTTTTGATAATCGTGTGGATTACAACATCTCCATTTTTCATAGTATAAGGGAGACAAGCAATGCGTAGTCTATAAATTTAGCTTTCAGCATTCGTGGCTGTCTGGAGAGATTTAGTCTCTTCTATCATCACATAATCTTGACTGACTTGTATTGACAATCTTGAAATCAAAATCGGTATGACCGATGCACCTTGTGACCTTTTTAAAAAACAAGGTGCAGTGAAGCCTCAGTGGTAGACAATGCAGAGGAATTTCATAGAGGCAAGAGCCAACGATCGAAAGTAAGTGAATGAGGAATGTGAAATTCTTTTTGGTTGATAAATTGGATATGATAAAAGCAGACAAGGGAAAGCAATGTGCCTTCTACGATAGGATGGGCTTTCAACTTCATGAAGCTAAAGTAGACGAACGAATATAGCCGCTACTCACTGCCTTTGCGAGCCACCGGTCTTTTCGCACATGCTAATGCATACCGTATGAGGACCATTAGTTAGCGAAAATGGTGCCAATTGGCGGCGATCTTTCTACCACGCGTAAAGTGAAGGCTGAGGTTATTACAAAAACCAAAAGTTGAAGAGGGCGAGGTCACTCAAACGATTTTATAGAACTGCAAAAAGTTCTCAATTCGAACGAGCATGATACACTCTGTTAAATGATGAAAATCGCGCTCATTGATATTCTGATGAAGAAATGAAAAAAAGTGAAGTAAAAAGGTGCACATGATTGGATACCCATCAAATGACGATAATAGACAATTTCAGCTGATTGAGATTCGGAGTAAATTCAGTACATATGTTCAAAATGTCGCTTTCAAAGCATAAAATTAAGATACTGCAAGATAACAAAGAATTTGGCTATGAGTATGATTGTTCCATAATCGTGCCACTGCCAAAAGCCAGTTTAACGCACAAAAATGATTGTTTTCGCATGTTCGCGAATCGTCAACGCTACAGGGCGAAGCCGGATTAGAAACATGCCCAGAAATATAGTTAAAAGATGAAGAATTAAAGAAAACCAAGCAGCAAGAATAGGTAGGGAAATGGGCTAAACTGTTTCAAAAACCAAAAGAATTAGAATGACAAGTACTGACCGTACACGCTTGTTGACAATGACTCCAACGGAGCTCTTCGTGATGTTAAAAACAGTTCCAGTCTTTCCGTGGTAAGCCTTGAACGGCATACCCTTTTGGAAAGCTCCATTAGCCTTGATGTCAACGATATCTCCGCGTTTATAGATGCGATAGTAGGTCGACAAATGCTCGATTCCGTGCTTACGGAAATCACGGGCGAACATGTAGCGCGTTCCGCGCCTGAGACCCTTTGAGTTGGTCATCCTAGTTGTAGGTTCCCCTGAAAGCAGAGAATGCAAAAACAGATTCAATTTTCACAATTTAAGACAGCGAAACATGGAGACGTAGTGCATCAAATAATGCGAGATATTCAAAAAGTAGAAGTTGATTTCGCAAGAAAAGTGTCGTGCTGATAGGCCATTCGGCACACCTAGTTGGCGACTTCTGAGAAATTTTGAAAGGACATCGATCATGTACGTTCAATGTAAACGCGAACTGAACACCGAAGCTTTATAGAAACTCGAGTAATCGAAACTTCATTGAATTATGTGTTTGAGTAAACAAAAACAACGGAGAGACAATACAGTTCTATGAAAATTTCCCTTCAAGAAAGAGATAAAATAGAGAAGATGTCAAAACCATACCAAACCGTCCCACGAAAGAAGAGTGCTATGAAACCTGATGAGGTGTGATAAAACCAAATGTGATGGATCCTTTTTCAATTAGCGTAGCAAAATAAGATTGACTTCTAGTCACATTTTACAAAATAAAAGCGATATTTAGGCCTGCGCAAGCAAAATTGTCTTGCCGGATATTAAAGGACAAACATGCTATTCTGCCTAGGACCACCTTGGCAAGAGCACAAACAGCGGAATCTCGTCCAACTGCGACAAATTTATAATTCATCCATCGTTACTGATTTGGTTACAACAGGGTTTTGCAGATTAAATATTTGAGATTATTTGTTTGAGGAACTTCCAGCAAATCAAGTTATTATCTATCAATTCACACCTAAGTCATAAATTGTAACAATGTACGAAAAGTGAAGCAGTTTGGCTTGTGCAAAGAACACTAAGTGTTCTCAATTTTCTTAGTTCGAAGAAAAAGAGAAATAGTAGTGAAGAAACCTAGTCTTCAGAACATGCTTTTTGTTTGGTTTTCTGTTCCCCAATTGTACTTAGTCCCTCGCAAAATTAGAATTTACATACCAACTACCATTGTTGGATAAAAGGTCATAGAACTCAGAAAGCGGATGTAAAAGCCATTTTGAACGGTTGTATGCAGAGACACGATACGATAAGCGTAGAATTGAACTGTAATGTCTGGACGAGTTGCCTCAAATGGGCGGGCTCATCACCTTCCGATTGCTTTTTCAATCAAATTTTGTTCTTTTTTTTGTCTCAAAAAAAAGTTATTCACGGTATGAGATTATTGTATTGCTTTTGTGTCTAATGCAAAAATTGACACTGGTGTTTCTGACAAATCTCTGCATATTGAAAAAATATTTCCTCTTATATTAATCTCCGTCCCGATCTCCTTGAATAGGGTTACAATCTCAACTTATTCCTTCCATTTCCTTCTTTTTCCTTCTCCTATATGTTCTTTGGTGAAGGACCTTGTTCATTCACGTCTGTGCAGATTGCTGTTTCCTTTTTTAGTTTATTGATTTATTGTTCAAGATTTCTACACTTTCAATTCCAGAATGTCTATCGGAGGTGTAGTATATCGGAAGGTTACTCGGCGTTTTTCCACGCTTTTTCTCGCGGCAACGCTTGGTGCTTTTGTCATGAACTACAGCTTCAACGCCATTACGGATGCTTATTGGGATAGAGTGAGTTATCATCGATTATATTTAATTTGCACTTTCCAAAGGGAGGGGTTAAGCTTGTTAAAGTCACATTCTACATCGCGAGAGGTAAAGTCGACTGCACGAAATCGCCCGGGTCGCTGTAGGCTGGAAGCCCGCGAGCGTGCCTGCAACGCGGCTGCCGAGTACGGGCGCTATGATGACTCGTGCGCGCGAATGCCAATGTTAGCCCGCAAGAGACACTCGCGCGGGCTAACATTTCAATCCGGGCGATTCCGTCGAGTTAACTATACGCCCAGGGTCATAGAGGTTGTGGGCACGCTGGTAGATCTACACTTGACTCGCTCGCTGAGGTCACCTATCCTAACTCCTGGGGTTACGGTAGGTACGGGACAGTAGGGACACCAACAAATTTGGCTGAAACTTGATTTAGTCGGAACCTTCGGCGTGCTGATCAGGGAAATAATACTTATTCTGCACGGGATTTTCGTAGGGTGCAGTGAATATAGGTATTATGTCTCACTATGAGACTATACTAAAGCAAGTGGGTACATTCGGCTCCCTCACCTTCTAGCGTATAGTTGATACGTTGACTGCATAAATTGGACATCACTGCGGAGCACGCGCAGCGAGTAGAACGCTTGCCCCAGTACAAATTTGCCGTTGTGCAAGTTGTGCTCTCGCAACATTTCAGCCGCGCTGCGCGTTTCCGTCGAAGATACACCCTCTATAAGCCCACAAAAAAAGGACTCTCTCATGCGTCTATTGTCACTACCGTGATAAGTCCGCGGCTTTTGATTTTGATGCGCGAATAGTTGGATACCGCTCAAAATAGCTCATGTTTTCGGCGAACCTACTTTCTGAATAGGGCAGTGTAACAGTTTTGAGGGAGATACTGATTTTGAAAATCTAAATAGTTCACATAAAACGTGTACACCTTCATGCGTTTATGCCAATCAACATTATTGCAGGTGAACGCTGGGAAGCAGTGGAAGGATATCAAGCAACGAATCGAGTAATTGAAATTGTCTATACGTTTGCAGAGTAGATAGATCGTTCATACCTCGCTGTTTTTTTTTCTGTTCTTGAAAATGCAAATGCGAATAAAATTGTAGATTTATTGTTTACTCAAAACAGTGAGTAGGTAACCAGTGAGATTTGATGGAGGGGTCTTGTCAAAGGTTTGGTAAGAGGAGAGGTTTACCACTTTGCAGTCGTTTTTTGGTTGTTGATCTCCAATTATCGTTTTCATTCTTCTGGGTTAAATGCAACGGTTCGAGGAGGTAAAGACTGCGTTTCCATTTCTTTTAATCTTTGGATGCGCTGGGTCTAATACTGTGCTTTAAATCTCTCGAGTTGTTAAAAAAGCGCATTTCGTGGTATTTTCCGGCGTTGTAGATTGCAAGAGGGGTTGAACTAGCCTCACCGCCAACTGAGGCTCGATTGGCTGCCTGGACCAACCAGCCAACTGCCGACGTACGGTAACCACACGGCGCTCAAACGACGAATTCGAAACGCACAAGCGTACCCTGATCGGCGACGCGGAAGCGACGCGCAGTCTTCTCCGCCGAGCGCGACAGCGAGCACGCACTTGATTTTTTTACGTTTCTTGAAGTTTCAGACGCCGATCTTTGCACGCTGGTCTGTTTCGAAGTCGAACCGACTTTCAAGCGCACGATTATTGGTGCATGTATGAAAGGCAGAACTGCAACGCTTGTTGTTTTGTGACTTCTTTGCATGCACTATTTGCGTTTAGCGTGCCAGTGATGTTCCACAATAAAGTGGAATATCAGTAAAGTCAAGTAGATGTATGACAAGGGTGGAAAGAACAGTGAAACCGCTTAGGGAGTTATACGTGCTGAGTGTTCATCGATAAAGTATCCTTTTCAGCCTTAACTTATAGACTCAGTTGTTAACATTACCAACAAGCGAAAAGGAAATCTATCGATAGCGTTTTTGATGAAGTTACGGCTTCTTTGCAAACTTATTGCCAATTCTGGTCTCACCTGTTTGTAAGTGTAGAGAACAGAAAAGTTCGAATTGGTCTCTGGGTGTAGTTTTCACCAAAAGCTGGAACTCGTTAGAAACCAGTTGTGGTCCTACACTACTACAAATATAGTTTATGCAAAATATGTATACACGATTCATGACACGCAAAGACTGGGCGCCATTGCGTCCGACCAAGATAGCTCGTGCATGGGAGAGACAGCAGATGGTAAGTGAAACAAAGAGCGCTCGATCAGAGGGATGGCGACGTCCGCAGTCTTTGCGTGCTAAGAATCGTCTATACTTTGAGGCTTGAATCTACAGTAAGAATCTATATGACGAAGTCAGATCAGCTACTGAGGTGTGAAGTTCCTGAAATGTCGCTCATAATCAGGGTAAAGCGGGGGGTGCGGCACGCCGCAGAGGGGGGGTCGTATTGAGGAGTCAAAAGGGGAGGGGGTCGTAGTTAGGTGATCTGATTATAGCGATAACATGATATTCGTATCATATCCATAATTAGCACGTCAATTAACCCCTGTAGACAAAGTGTGAGCGAATTCTGAAGATTCAAGATACTAGGCTACCTAAGTGAAATGGTCAAATTCCAACATGGTTAACTTTGTTTTAAAGGTGAATTAGCTATCCGTTTTTGCACTCAAGACAAAGCACTACTCCTTCTTTGTCCACCTCAGGAATCCCGCTTCAGAAGACCTCCAAACTGTGGAATTAGAAGCCAACCAAAATCTCATTTTTCCCATTTTTCGCTTTTGATGGCTGTGCTTTCACCAAATATTACTCAGAGCTAAGAAGACGAATCAGGCTCAAAACATCCCTATGGAATCTACGAGGTTTAGGCTATCGATTCATATAAATATTGTCCGCTAAAAATGTTTTTTTGATATAGTTAATGGCCTGCGGCACCCCCCCCCTCAAAACCTGCGGCTGCCGCAGGGGTGCCGCAGGGGTGCCGCAGGCCATTAACTATATCAAAAAAACATTTTTAGCGGACAATATTTATATGAATCGATAGCCTAAACCTCGTAGATTCCATAGGGATGTTTTGAGCCTGATTCGTCTTCTTAGCTCTGAGTAATATTTGGTGAAAGCACAGCCATCAAAAGCGAAAATGGGAAAAATGAGATTTTGGTTGGCTTCTAATTCCACAGTTTGGAGGTCTTCTGAAGCGGGATTCCTGAGGTGGACAAAGAAGGAGTAGTGCTTTGTCTTGAGTGCAAAAACGGATAGCTAATTCACCTTTAAAACAAAGTTAACCATGTTGGAATTTGACCATTTCACTTAGGTAGCCTAGTATCTTGAATCTTCAGAATTCGCTCACACTTTGTCTACAGGGGGTATTTGACATGCTAATTATGGATATGTTGTCCATTATGTTTGACAGAGCCTTCAGGTAATACTATCTTAAGTGTATAGTTTAGGAGGGGGGTCTTATTAAGACAGCAATCAGGGGGGGGGGGGTCGTATCCGACGGTCGAGTGCCGCACCCCCCGCTTTACCCTGCTCATAATTCGTGAAAAAAGAACCGCGGCGGCTGTGCTTGGACGGCCTCCACCGAAGTCCACCGAAATTTCGCATCAGGTCTATGTTCAGAGTGGACTTTCTGAAGGTTACCATTCAGCTACTTTGCATGGCACACGTCTTTGTATATACAAGACTGCTTTAGCTTGGGGTACAGTGGGTAACGTGGAAGATAGTTTTCAAATTTATTTTCCAGTTTTTGCTTACTTAGGCTGCTCACTTTGACGATTACAAATTATTTGATGCTAGAGGACACTGCGAGCCGTAGAGGTGAATTTGCAAAGAAACAAACCACCGTAAATATTTCGCCTTTTTCTTTTCAGCAATTATGTTCTCGATTTGGTTGCTCCTTGAAATCACTCCCCGAGGCGCAACCCGACGTTTTCATCATGTACAACTTTGACTAATTCTCATTCTTATTAGGATCCCAAACGTAACTTGACCGGCGGATTTAGCAAGCACTTCGCAATTCAGTGTCTTTTCTCAGTCTGCGCGGCCTTTTGAAATTAATAAAGGTTTGTCGTGACCAAAACCGTTATTGGGAGTTTTTGAGCCTCAGATGTAACGATGCTACTCCACTGCGCAATATTTCGGAGAAATGTCAGACTGTAGAGAAAGCTTCTTGGATTCGCTGACGAAATCGGAAAACTATCTATGTGCGTATGGCTGTACCCGAAAATTTTAGACACCAGCATTACAAAGCTGTGATTGCTCCACTTTGTGACAATAGTGCTTGTTGCTGGTCGAGTTCGAAAAGCCTTGTCAAAAGCGAATTTGGAACACACAAGCGTACAAGGATCGGCGTCTAAAACTCCAAAAAACGTTAAAAAAACGAAGTTCGTGCTCGCTGTCGCGCTCGGCGGAGAAAACTGCGCTTCGCGCCGCTGCCGATCAGGGTACGCTTGTGCGTTTCGAATTCGTCCGCTCAAACGGCTGGATTCGCGATGAAGCGCGATGTCGAGCGGAGCGCGTTATTGGCACTGAACTTGGATTTTTTTGGATTTTTGGTATTTTTTGGACCTCTTGCATTGGAAAGGATCGCGTTTGATGACAGTGAGGATCCAAAGAGATTTTGTTTTCTTTTTGACTCATGCTTCTTTTTTCGTGTGACACATCAAAATTCTCACGGTTAAGGGCACACCTATAGGGCATTCGAAAATCGCGATGGTGCGACCGCGCGCAACGCGAACGCACTCTCACTTGGTTTCTATCTCTACTCAAATAGTTTTTCTGCTTACATATATAGTATTAAGGCACTGGAAGTGATTGAACTTAGCCTTCAGGTGTTACCTGTTTGTATGTTGTTTATCTTACTGTGTGCGGAAAGACTGCAGTCAATTCGTCGTCAGATTTTGAAGTGAACCATACTTACTTCTGCGATAACCGCAGAAGTAAGTATGGTTGCAGAGAGAGGCAGACACTTGCAACATCTCGAATGCAGCGTCCGGGCAAAATTTCGAGCAAGATTTTTTTTTGCTTATCCATATAATAAGCAAGCGAATCTCAGGACCTAGAGCTGGAGGATAGGGGTTTTGGGTGCATGTAGGTATCGTCGATTCGTTGACCGCACGGACTGCTCAAATGCTGCGGACCACACGCGGCGCGGCTGTGGCGCGAGAGCACGACTTGTACAATAGCGGATTTGACTGGGGCAAGCGTTTTACCTCGCGGCGCGTGCTCCGCAGTGATGTCCAGTCCGTGCGGTCAACGAATCAACTATATAATTAGCCCATTAGGAAAAATAGCCGGGATTTTTCCTTTTTGTATTTCATCAAAAATCCACCAAAATAGTTCTTCGCGTTTGCCTGCCTCACAATTCAAAAACATAGACAAATCAGCGTCTAAATTGTGGGGGAGGATACGGAGGACCATTCTGAAGGAAGGTTGTGTGGTTGTCCGTCTTTTTAGGCCCGTATGCACGTACGTCCCCGCTGGGGAGGGGAGGGGAGCTGGATCCCCAGGGGAACGATCCCCTTCGCCGAACCCTGCCATGACAGAGGGGAGGGGAGCGATCCCCTCCCCTGCACCTAAGCGGGGATGGTGTGAATGGTTTCAGAGGTATTGATCGAGCGAACCCCAATGCATACGGGGTTCGAATGGGGGAGGGGATCCCTTCCCCTCCCCCACTCGAACCCCGTATGCGCGAATTCAACTCAATAACGCGGGGGAGGGGATCGGCATCCCCTGCAACGAAGTAGGGGTTCGATGGTGTAGATCATGCCAGAGACGCGGATATTCTGGTTCTGCTCAGTCATTACCAAGCATTTCGTTCATTTTGATGGAGGGTTTTCTTTGAAAGCCGGGTCCTTCTCTCAGCGACCTGTGGCTTGCAATTTGTCTTTCTTTTCTATATTCGCCTCTTAAAAAGAAATCCGAGCAACAATAGCTGCCATTTTCGATTATTTGTAGGAGTTCTAAATCATTCAGGAAATTTGCGCATTTTTCATATAACATAATAGTTTTAACTATATAGGCTGAGTAAACACATTGTAACTTTCATATTTCATGACATGTTGCCATTATCTTGTTATTTTAACATAAGCTGCCTTGAAAAAATCTAGAAAGTAGCATATTTGCCTATTTCTGAG